AGACATGTGGGAAATCTACAAGGGACCCGTAAGAACTGTGTGGTTAGCTAGAAATGATTTATTTGAAAAAGTCTTTAGCCCTTCTACAAATAGTGCATTTCTTATTCGTGCAGTATCAAATTCTGGCCTTGAGGAATTTAATACTACTAAGATTGGTATGACTTTTAATAACGATTTAAAGGAATGGTCTTATAATCGCAAATTTATGAATAAGGCTATTATGTCACCTAATTTCATTAAACAAGTTGTTGAAGGAACTCAAGATATTTTTGAAGGGATGGAAAAATGTTGGCAAAGTCTTTGGAAAAATCTTGGAAATGATCAAATTTTTGATATACAGAAATGGATATTACTTGCTACTTCCGAATCTATTATTTTTTTGACCTCACACAAAAAAGCTTATTCTGTAATCGATTATCATAACAAGTTATTACCTACCAAAAAATTTGATACCCCTGTTGGTGCAATAGAAGAATCTGAAAATTATATTGCTAGAATAAGAAACTATATTAGAGCTTTGGAATTTTTTTTTACCACCCCAAAAATTATTCGAATTCTTCCTGGTGTTCGACAATATGCTCGAAGTTTGATTAATAATAGAGATTTGCTATACAAATATTTAACTAGAATAATTCAGGAACGCAGAAAAGAGATCGAAAAAACTTCTGATAAAGAATCTTTGACATCAGATTTATTAACATTATTCTTGACTGCTAATACATCTCTCGATATATCGAATGTTTCTGATGAAATGCATACTGAACCTATGACCGACGAACAAATTTGTGGCAATTTCATTGAAGTTTTCGCCGCTGGAACTGATTCAGTATGATAAAATATTTCTTAAATTTTATTTTCAAATTTGTTACATTATCATTATATAAATTTTAATCTGTATATTCCTTTTTTTATTAGGTCGCAAATAGTATTACTTTTATCATCTATTATCTGGCACATTATCCTAAAGTAAAAGAACGTGTGGTTAAAGAGTTAGAAACTGTCTTTGGACATGATTCAAATTATCGTTTCACTTCAGAAGACTTGACTAAATTAAAATATTGTGAAGCTGTTATCAAAGAAGGTTAGTTACCTGAATTACAGAATTAATCAAACATTTGACTTTGTAATTATTACGATAACGCATTACTAAGCTTTATATGTTCATGATTTGATATTACTTTTTATAGTTTCAAGAATTTACCCTTCAGCTCCAACAACTTTTCGTACATCAACTAAACCTGTCGAAATAGATGGACACCTTTTTCCTGCAAATTTGCAATTTTTCATTTATATTGAGGGTGCTAATAACCATCCTCAACATTGGACTGATCCAAACACCTTCAATCCAGACCGATTTCTTGATGGTTCAAATAAAACTATCAACACTTTTGGTGGTGGATTACGCATGTGCCCAGGTCGAAATTTATCTATAATAGAAATCTTAAGTTTTATGGTCTTGTTGTACAGAAAGTATGATATTGAGCTAGTTGATATGAACGCTCCTATTAAGTATAATTTTAATATTATTAGGCAATGCGTAAAAATGGATACTAGAATAATTCCTAGAAAATTTGAGTAAATAATGCTTGAATGATGTTACTTATAGTTAATAATTTGTGTAATATAAGAAAATAGCACAGGTTCCAGCATCACTCTGGATTTAAATTTTTTATTTTGTTGGAACTCCTTTGGGGAGACGATGTAAACTTAATTTAAACAATTTGGTTATTATAAATGAGTGTCGTTAAAAGAAAACCCGAAAATTTAAATCTAAGTCATATTTAAATTTTCGAGTTTTCTTTTAGCAACACTCAAATGCTAAAATCAAAATCAATTATATTTTGATATATAAGTTATATATAATTACTAGATTTGTTGGAAAAACCAGAAAATAGTTTTGCATTATTTATACAAAAATTATTGTAAAATATGATGAATAATGTTATCACATATTTATCAATTAAGTTATCGTTAATACTCATAGTGATAGTAATAAATTCTTTATTATTATGGGTTTACGTTCCATTACTAATATAATTGTGGGGGCTGAAGTTGAAAATGGATGATGCTGATTTTTATACTTTATTATAAAATTGTAAAATTTTTAGGGTCTTTTTTGTGGTCTTTTTTATTCATAGTTAGATTAGGGTTAGGGAGTAGTATTTATTAATAAAAAAGTATATGTGAATTTTAGTGGGTTTTATAGATTTAAAAAGAGACCCAATTTTCAGCATAATCCATTTTCAGCTTCAGTCCCCCACAATAATTACAAATAAAAATTTTATTATTTGGTTCGATTTATTCAATCATCCGTACTATAATTAAACAAATTTGAATTTTTTATATTATTTCCGTATATGTTAACTTACTAAAACACTGTTGGCTACATAATAATCCCAAATTTTTTCTTTTGGACGACCTTTTCTTTCGATGTTTTTATTTTGTTCTTCCGAACATGTATCAGTTTGAGATAACTGGTTAGACAGATTTAAAGATAAATTTATAAACATCGATTCATCAATCGTGTTAATAAAATCAAGCCAAAGAGGTATATATAGTTATCACTTTTGTTATGAATGGTATAATAATTTTACTAAATTATGTAATTTAATTATAGTAAATCGCAATCTTTATAATTACCAAACTGACTGATAATATTTCGAAAAATAAATTTATTTTTTGCATTTAAAATTAATTTACATCCCTAGTTGCGTGCATATTATTTATATCCTAGTATATAACATTACAAAAAAATTTAAGCCTGCATGATTATCTCATTTTTGTATTCTAATACATTAATAATTTCTTTATTAATTCTGAAAAATTGTGTATTTATTATAAAAAATTGGCCTCGGGATTCTTTAAAGAGCTCCATCAAGAATGGTACTTAAATCGATTTTTTTTCCTATCCAAAAATAGACCATTGGAATATATATAAGTGATATAACAATAATTTTAAAACCACTATAACTAAATTTTGTGTAAAAAAATTTTTTTTAAATGTGTTGAGCCTCGAAATAACGCGATACACCAAATTATACGCGTATTTTGTCTTTATATTTAATAATTAGATATTTATTACTTTTAATAATCTTATTCAAATCAATTATTGGCATTAATTTTAATATAATTGGACATCTCATGTTTAAAATAATTCAAAATATTTCACTTTTATATCTATATACTTTAATATTAATTTCCTAGAATTTACTACCTACTTCAAATTTTTAATCGTATTATGTACTAAATGTTCAATTTACTAAATATCACCATTCTTATTCTATTAATAAAATATCACCATTCTTATTCTATTAACACAATATCACTATTCTTATTCTATTAATAAAATATATTATAAACTAGATAATACTGTAGTATATCAATAAAAGAAAATACGATGTGTAAGTGGTGCCCAACAACTATTTAATTGTAATTAATGTTATTAGCAACAAAAAAAATAAAAATAAACATGACTTAAATATCAGCATTAAAATATTCAGGTATCAGTAGTGAACTTTTTTAGGAACTAAACAACCTCTATCTAAACAACGAATAACCCCACCTTCATAGGCGTTATCAGTTACAGGTTGTACTGGTTGTGCATATGTTTCACAAATATCAGGTGAATTTCTTTTATTATGGTAAAGAAAACATTGAAGTTTACTAAAATCAACAGCATCTCCAGCAGGACTTTTTCCATAATCCCATTGAATACACTTTGGATCTTTAAGGCATTCTTTACAACATTCTTTTGAAGAATGGATATTTTCTACTATATGCGCATCTTCAAGAGCAGGACCGCGAGTATCGTTTTTCCATCCTGGACCACCGGATCCTTTGCAGCAGTCTTTACTAAGTTCATAAACCTGTTTTTGCTTATTGTCGAAGGCATTTGCAAGAATTGCAAATGTCAACAAATATGAAAAAAAGATCAAGAATGAATTAAAATTTTTGAGATTCATTGTTAAATTCAAAATTAATTCGCGGATTTAAATTAAAGAAATATCTAAACTTGATGTGAAGAGAAATTATTTATTATTAATGGTAAGTAAAAAAAATTCTAGCTTTTATAAAAGTTCAATAATATACATACATTTATTCGTTATTTATCTTTAACTGTTTCGCAAATTTAATATGCATACATTGTGCTCTAGTTTGATCCAATGCCACTTCAAAGTGTCTGAAAATTGCAACTTTATAAGAGATAAATAATGTAATTTGAGCTTACATTTAGAAGTTCCATTTAAAGAGGTGTCTGGCTGTGTTTTTTATTTCATACATACAAATATATGCATAAATTTTTTTATGTACGTACTAGAGTTGCTGGTGAAACTAATCTTCAATGGTGCACCGATAGTTATAGATGAAACTAATCTTCAACGATGCGCCATCGGTGCACCGTTGGTACACCGATGGTTCTGGTGAAACTAATTAGTTTCACCAACAACTCTAGTACGTACGTATACAATTTGTAGCTCTTCAAATTATCCCTTAAACCGTTTCTCCTGCAAATTTGCCCCCAAATTTTTGAAATTCGATTTGTAGTGCATGTAACACAGAAAATTTAAGGTTTTACCTATTTAACCCGAAAAATCCTGATTTTACTTATTTAGAATTATTCATTTATTTTTTAGTTTACATACAGTATAATGCATCGTTCTTTTTTTTTGGCAATTGTTCGATCATCTTCTATTAGACTTTGTTGATCACAATCATCGTTATTTATTTATTTATTTTTTTATTTACTTACTTTTTTACATACCACTTTAATACTATTTCCAGACATCAAGAATACGAGATGGATAACGATGCTGAAGATAATGATTCCTATATTTTTGAGCTCATACGAAATATTGAGAATGAAATTGAAAGTAATGTTAGAGATATTACCGATGATGATACCAGCATTGTTAATACTTTTTTAATTTCAAAAAATCTTAATTTGATAACGGTGCACAAAGATTTCAGAATAAAATTTGGCATAAATTTGGTGGAAGAATCACTTGAAATGAGTCAAATTAGCCAACAATTAAATACACAGACAAAAAAAGCAACATTTCAGTTAGAATTACAAAATGATCAACAAAGACCATTTTATGTTACAAAAAAATTTGAGTTACCTATTGAACAATTATCCCACAAAGTCACTACCCAGTATATCGTGAGCAAAAAGGTTCCTGTGTTTGGTGCAGGTTTAAAAATATGGCTGAGCAAGGGAAACACAATAAAAATTAACCACAAAGCCAGGTGTAGTGCACAACATGTAATGTGCCGTTATGTCTCAATAAGCAGCGTCCAGATAGTTTTATTGAGTATCATGAATGTAAATGACAAAATGAATACTGTTTTTATATTGTGGTATAAAGTTTTGTATCATGTTTACTATTATTTTGTTATGGTTGTAATATAAGTGAGCATCGAAAAATTTCAGGGCAAACTTGACAAACGGTTTAAGGGATACAAAACTATACAAAGTATAACACAATGAATAACTATAATGAATCATTCTATTTAGTTTATATATGGTGTGTTTTATTAAAATGTTACCCTTACAATTACGTACATGCATCTCCACTAGACTAGCTCTTAGGTCCGGGCAATTTATTAAAATGTTACCCTTATAATTACGTACATGCATCTCCACTATCCCTTAATCCGTATTCGGGGCAAATTTGCCCCGATTTTCAGATTCCCGGCAGATATCTCACGCTACCATTAA